TATATATGCTCCTGCGTACTAAACAAGTTAGCGTCCGGCACTAATCAATTAAGATCAGGAAAGTAAGGCTTGCTGTTTTATCTTCTATTAGAATCTGTCACTTACCTTAACTTAACAGGAAAACCGCCATAAAGTGGAACAAGAGGTAATTTTGTTAATTCGTAAACCTTCAAGAAGAACGCTGAAAACACCGAATATAAAGAACTCTGTTGCAAGACAATGTGCTGATTTAGATTTAAAAAAAATGAATGACAAAGCCACTTTATGCCTTAACCTCATTACAAAATCCACTGCACACTCTTGTAGTGCCTAAATTCTGCGCTGCTGCAAAGGTGCATATGCACATTTTAAATGAACCTACGAACACTAAGTGAAGTAGATTGTTGGTTCTGCTTTGGAAGTTAATAATTCACTACTTCATGTTTACCCGTGATGTATCAGACTTGGTCAACTTTGCGCTACGATCCTTAACTGAAGATTTGAGTGCTTAGAGCTTTCGCATACTTACACGTTTCTCTTTAACTATATTTATTATTAAAGGTTAAGGATATATTGGATGAAGTATCATCCGAAAAGTGAATGCACAATGTAATAACATGCCGCAAATTGTAAGACTTTTTTAAATGAAAAGACCAAAAACTCCCTTGACCTCTGTCAAAGGAAATTAACTCGTTGAAGTAATTGATACGGGTATATTACAGGTCAACACCCAAGTCTGAGCTAAGGTGGTATGGCAATAGATTATCTTATTAGAAAATGTTTTAATATTGGACCATTTTCATACGTATTAAATAACAATTTGTGAACCTTATGGTTGTTATGAAACTACAATACTTTTCTAGGCACATACCATACACTACTTCATAGCAAAAAAAAAGTATTTGCTCATATACATGCCTTTTGTGAGCAATGGGTACAAGGATAACTCTCACTGAAAATAATCCATTGGGATGCTATACAGAAAGCATGTCGATGTATATGTTATCGTATGTAGAGACTTACCCATAGGGTAAGGAAAAGAGCGGAAAGCTTCTCGGAGATTTTGTGTAAATATCGGTATGATTGGTACTTTCGCTTCAAGAGCTACCTTGGCGAACCCAACTCTCTTTCGCCACAGTAATCTGAAAGACAGTAAAATAGACACCCATTAAACCTATTTATAGTAACTGTAATAATAATGAAAGTTACAAACATACGATATAAAAAAAACAAGCAAAAAATGATACTAGTAGTCTATGAAAAAATTACAAGGTAAAGCTACTTTTTTCCAAAGTACATCTATCACACTCATCTAAACCCATATCTTCTTGCACACTACTACATGCCAATGAGAAAGGATTAGTGCAGGTTAGGATGAATGCCTTCACTGTCCTGGAGGTCTCTCGGCTCTATGGTCGACCATCCGCCACAATCAATCATTATCCTTTTTGCTTCTCTTTGCACTTGCTCCCTTCTTGCTCCTTCATCTTTTTTGCTTTAGTTTGGCTGTTTTCCTCTGCTGATTTCTGTTGCATCATTTTCTTGTCGACTTCCTCTTTGAACTTCCGGCTGGACATCGAAATTATCGCATGTTTCTTTGCATTACGTCCTTTTCCTCGTGTTTACACTTTTGAGCAATGTGTTAATTTTTTTGGAAAGCGACAGTTGTTATATGCACAACAACTAAAGCCGTCTATGTGAACCTTCTTGTTTGTATCTTTATACCTTGTGTGATTTTGAACTCGCTTCGCAACTTGTTTTTGCGTTCAGGAAAGATTTGCATCTTACAGAATCACTGTTACGGAGGAACCAATCGCAATCTGAGCATCTATTTCAGCGTTTATTTCTTTGAAGATAATCTCTGCAAACGTAATCCTGTTACCAGCTGTGATCTCAGCTGTCTTAATGACCACGTCGCCATTTCTATGATTTCGGATTATTTGCTGTGATTTTTGACAATATTGAAAGTGGCTTCGAAGTACATTCTTGATTCTTAGTCTCACCGTATTTACGTGGGAAATCTTGGCCATTTTCTAGCCTTGATATTGGTTTGGTAACACCTTCAAGTTCTTTCCAGATATATATAGCTAGGTTCTTCTTCTTTAGATATCTTGTTCTTCATCATGACTTTTTCTAAAATTTCAATAAACTTAACAGCAGATTTCTTAGTAATTACTATGCTTAGTGGTCACCGCATTTTGTATTACTTAAGTATCACCCCTGCTGTGCACGATGGCAATTTCCCCTACCAGCAGGTTTTCTGTAGTTATTGCGGAAGGATATTACACAGTTACTCCAAAAAAGCTTTAATTGTTTTAATCATTTAAAATCAATATATCGTTTGTCTCTCGTGCACCCAAAATGCTTCCTAGCGTTATATGTTTAAATAAATTGTTGTGCCAAGCACCGATACATTTACTTCTATTATGCATGTTACAAGTCAAGCTCCGTATTGCAAACTAAATTCACTAGCCTGTCCAAAACACACTTTTTTTGCACTAATAGATGGTATTCACTTCTGACCGAAATGTTTTTCGATCGTAATAATACATTTTGATCCGGCCTGTAATACGGACCGTCTTATACTCAATTACCTATACATTTCTTTTAAGTAATTAGCATACATTATAATATCAACATTTAAAAACGATTTAGCGCGTTGGTATTTTGATTTTTTGTGCTTTATTTACAATCTATGTCAGTCTCCTTACTTACAAATGCAATTTTGTCAATTTTAGGTATCAAGTGCTATTAGATGGGGACGCCTATCATTTGTGAGTTACTGGAGATGGCTTATTTAGCGAAAGACTAAAGGCCAAGTACACTTTTAAACTCTTGCATCACAAACCGCGTAAAGTTCCGTTTGGCTGTTAGGGAACCATGTGTACTCTATTATGACATAAATATGAAGATTCAAAATTATTAAAACAAAAATAAATTGGTTGTATAAAAATATACATTCACATACTGATATTTGTGGGTGCCGAACAATGCCTCAAAAACTCCGCCGGGCGATATTGCTAACAGGTTTCCATTATTCAAACTTTCCACGCAGCTGGGAATGGAGCCTGGAGTTATTTTCATTACCTAGTAAAGCAAATGAGCAAAGACATCTCAAAGTAAAGTAAGTTCACATTCACTGCTTTTCTTTGCTTGTAATATAACAACTTCTAGTGGGCCCTTGCTGTATGTCTTTATCCTACTATGAACACCTTGACCGCATATTTAAATTAGCTTATAACTAATTGGGCCTAACTTCATTGGCAAAAATGTCCAAATACTGTATACTGCTTCAAACTATTTAAGAAATGCTTTTTTCTTCAATTGTTTGTCTAATGAACGGATTTGCTGTACCACAAGTATGCATGCTTTACAACATATTCATTAATAGTAACACAGCGTTCACGAATAAAGCAGCGCTTATTTCCTCATTTCCTTATTAGAGAAATTTAAATGCCTTCTGATATTTAGTTTGAATACCTTTTAATTTCAGCAACAAACCTACACGTACAATTCACATACATTTTTACAAGAGTTAATGAAGATTTTCACTTCTGTATCAGCGTGAATTTACCGTTGAGTAGCTTATCTGAGCTGCCTAGACCTGTCATTATTCAGAGTAAAATCTAGTACTCACTTCCATAAGTATGTGAAAGCCGGGCAATTTCTGTAAAAAACGATCCCCAATACCCCATATCAATCTCTGCTTATACAGGTAAACGCCAGATAGAAGATAATAATAATCGATGGGGATTGCTCCGTGGTAGTAGATGAGTAATGCAGGTCCAGTTGATGGAATGTTTTCGAGGCCAAGCATCTCGTATCCTGTGCAAACCGACAAGTAGCAAATAGAGTAAAGTAGTACTGTACAAACTTTACAGAAGTCGTACCTGTTCTAAGAGACTTATTTCTTTGTGTGTTTTAAGCGACAATTTGTCTTTAAAAATTGATATGTGCAGTTTTTTAATATATAGAAAAAAACTTTTTTGTTGCTCGAAAATAACATCGTCACAACAGCGTAGTAGTCTTTTGTTGTACTGTAGCTCATTCATATACAAAAAGACAGTTCCATTTACGTTAGGTTCAAAACGATGAATTTCGATATTAGCTGGTAACCACTCTGCTGGAACCGCAAGGTAGTAATAAGCTCATCGAAAGCCAGAATGGCATATAAGTTTGTTTCCACGCTAAGGCAACTCTCTGTCGTATATTATCACATATATGAACAACAACAACTTTGCCATACACAATTAAGGGAATAATATCTTATAGTCAAGATTATTATTCGCTATAAAATTTTTTCGCTGTTAATTTTTTTTGGCAGAGGCAGGCAATTTTCTGTGATCATACTCAAACGCCTTACTGTACACCATGTTAATATTCAAGTATACAAAAAACACTTGCAAAAACCAAATGCAGCGCTAGAACAACCAAATACAACCGATACAAACAGATTGAAGACCTTTTTCATTTTAAATATTTTTATTTTTTTACTATAGTAAAGTCTTGATCAAAGGTGTACCGCAACGTACCGAAAGTTTTCGAAAAGAAAACAGTATTTTGTATGTACAAATTTAGCTGTGTAAATGCTCCGCTCTTTTTCAAGGACACCCAGATTTTCAAAATAGAGAACTTTAACACCGTCGAACCGGTATTAAATGTGTGTATATAATCGAGTAGCATGAAGCAGTATCTTTGACTGCACTCTAACCGTGATAGATGCGAGCGTGGCCCCACCATAGGAGCGCAAGAAAAGTGCGAGCTCCGTGCCATATATCCTGTTGGACGTCCTGCCGAATTTTATGCCGAAAGCGATAAAAGTAGAGAATGATGATCGAAATGTATAGAAGAATATAAATCATACCAGGTAGAATAAACGTTATCTAAACAGAGAAGACACAATACAAAGCGTAAACATTAATGCAATTGTCCAGACTTATCAATGTATGAATCCCTTCGATATGTATGTATGAATTTTGAAGGCTCAGATGTTTAGTGACAAAACGCTACGGACTAGTCAACGCCTAAATAAAAAAAGAAATGTAAATAGATGTACCCCTTTTTCCAATAAAAAAAAAGTGAAGGTTTTTGCTTTTAACATTTTTAACAGTCTAGTTTCCTTCGATAAGAAGCCTGCGAATTGCAGCTGAAAATATGAAGACCCTCATTACTCGATAAATTGCTTACACTCTTGTATGTGTTGATTTATTCTACATAGGAATAGCTAAAACAGCATACAGTTGCTCAACTAATTAGCCAAAACTCCTATGCATTTTCCTTAAACACTTACCAACACAGGTTTAAACAGCCACCAAATCCAGGACCAATATTCAACATCAAGCAAGGTCGAAAGATTTGCGTACAATGAAGCAGAGTAGGAAAGCATCGTCGATGTCTCATCCTCCATCATTCTTGTTATTTGGCAGCCTGCCGCTGAAGATAATAAAAATAATTAGACCGCAAAAGCTATATCCGTTATTTGTTTTTTTATTTTAGGTTGCTGCATCTATACACTGTGCAAACGATTACTTTACATGACATCTGGTAAATTAGGCATGCATGAAATTAAATTTTACTATTATTATTATCAAGTAATTACTGCATAAAACTTTAGGTGCATGTCAATATTTTAATCATTTGCAGTTTACGGGCACATTTCGACTAGACTCTCTGTTGAATTCATACATACAGTAATATGATGCAATTCACAAATATGATGATAAATTAAAATGAAACCGACGCCGGTTGCCGTTGAACTTTGCAGATCCAAATATCAAGAAGTGTCCTGGCCGTATCGATTCCGTTTGGACACGTAGGTAGCTTTATCCTATAGGGAAAATATCAGAAGTATTTAAAGATACGCATATGCTAGAAGTTTATTACTTGTATTTTTCGCAGACACTCTGGGGTTTGAAAATGGATTGAGGACATTTACTTGCGCGAGTTGCAACCTATAGGGAAAAATGTCAATGCCATTGGTCCACAAGCCGTACGACAAATAAACTATAAATAAAACAAAGTTTACTTATAAATAGTACATGTTCAAAAATATGATAGAAGCTTAATTTAAGTGATTACTACTACATAATAGCACAATATCAAGTTGAGACTCCTTTCAATAAAAAAAAACAATTACTTTATAAATATTTTTTCGTCCCGAAAATTTGTTGAGCCTGATCGAATCATCTTTTGGTGAGGTTTAAATTCACTATCTATTCAGGTCGCTAAAAATGTTATTCACCTTTGGCACATTAATAAATGTAGTGTAAAGATGTTGCCGCGGATCTGTAAAAGTCGCCCAAAGGACAGCCCTTCCCAAGCACAGTCTCTTTACTTTGGCAGCAGCAGCAGCAGCAGCTGGCCTAACCTGCCCAGCAATGCCGCCTTCTGCCAGTTACTAGTTATTACTTTCATCCAGTTGCACTTCAATAACCCCCATCACTAACCAGCAAGTGTTGACACCACGGGTCCAAACAGCACTGTAACGCCTTGCTGTTTACCGCTCTCCACACTATTTCTCTTTTTTTGCTGCCTCTATCAGCTAATGTGTTTATCTTCATTCGTATTGGCAGACCCTCACTGGCTGGTGTTTACCCGATTAAGGCAGCCTGTCTGCTGTAGAGATGCGAAGAAATGGTTTATTGTACTCAAGACCAATCAATTGCGGTTGTATACAAAAAGTTGAAATATGTTGAGCTAGATCGACTATTTGCGCTTAGAATTGCTCGCATGGCGGTGCATACTTCATTACGTTATGCATTATCTGAGGCGCTCTGTTACATTCTTTCTATTAACACGTCGAACTAACAACCTTCTATACTTCTCTAAGGATAATATTTATTTTTAGTGCAATAGATAGAAGACACGCGTGAAGTTGAATTAACTTGTAATAAGCGCTCGAAATAACATTCGAATTATACTAAAGTCAGCTATTTCGGGTTGGTAATGGATTCTAATTTAGTTAATAATTTGAAATTAAATTATTTTATGTTGCAAATTTCAAAATATTGTGTGTGGTGCTTTGAGACATCTTTGACATATCTACATACGCTGTTATTACGTATAAAAATCTTTACTAAAGGTTTGATATATTTTTTTACAGAAGAAGTTTAGCTAAGCACGTCTAAGCAAATCAAAAGGGAACAATAATCATACCGATATTTCCAGTAAAAGAAGATTATTGTAGACCTTCAGAACTAACAAATATAGTTGAACAGAAGTTTTGAAATAATCCGGCAGTTAAACTTCATAAAAACGTGATAAGCTTCGAACTACGATTGTGTTAACTAAAATAATACAAAACGTATCGACTTCCCTCTTTAATTTCTCTCTGTAGTTCAGGTACATCTAGCAGTTTTAATTTGTCTCGACGGTACATTCATAACAATTTCTTGTTCCCTATTATTAGATCATGTGACTCATGGTACAGGGGCCACTAAATTAAGACATTTTGTAACATTTTAAGTCATCGAGCGCCTAACCTAAAGAGACAAGTCTGCTTTAGCTAGATGCTCATTATACTTTAATATTTGTCCATACTGTATCTCTTTAGTTTACAGCGATAGAAGTGCATATCTACTCATGGAAATACTGATCTACTCTTTCTAGAGTAGATCAGTATTAAGGTGTTATCATTAACGCGCGTATCGTGAGTTAATAGAAGCACCTATAATCGCAAATAATTATTATTATTCCGCGCATCGATTTCCATTTTATTTTGCCATAATACTAAGTAAGTAAATAGCACATGCAAACATGCAGAACTTTCTAAAGGTATTTGGTTTAGCCTTTCATTACCTTCAGCACTTCTAGATGGTTGAGGATTTTTGCAATATACAGTCCCAGTGGTATCTGGGATGAGTGGTTCGTGGCTAATATCCAAAAGGTGTTTAAGTGTACATTTTGTTTTGAAAAAGGTAGAACTTTTTGAGCATGAAAATCCTTGTACTTCGACTAACGGAGAATATTTGGAAAGACAGAATGATTTTTGTCGAACTTCGTAAACTATTTTTGTTTAGTTGTATTTTGAATCATTTGTATTGTTACATCTTAACTTTTAATTATATAAGTACTGTAAAAATTTAAAACGTAATTAAATTATTTTTCTTCACGCCACTTCCTATCGAACATTATAAAGTTTTATTAAAATATAATAAATTAATTACACATTTTACTATTTGTGCTCATATACTACTAATTAGTAATAATAATTACCAAATCTGTATGCCTAAGACATGGATAGATGTAAACAAGCAAACATTTAGAATGCCGTCTTTAACAACTTTATAATATTAAATGCCAATAATAATAATAATGTACGTATGTATATTTATCAAGGTATAGAAAAATATTTGAATTCGAGTCTCGGAGTCCAGTAGACCTAACTCAATTGCCTCATAACAGTCAGTCACGATAGATGCCACGATTAGACAAGCTTGTATAGGTAGTAAGTAGGTAATAATAAGGCGTAAAAATGCGCATGCGTCAATTATGATAACCCGAGAAGAATAGTGCTCGCATAGTGAGCGAAAACTCATAATTTATGCGGCAATTATTTCAGGAATCTGAGTGCTGTCGGTTTTCAGCGGTCTGACGATTTGAACTGAAAATGAGTCAAAAGCGCTATTGCGTAGCAGTAGATCAAAGTTATCGATATAATGTCGTGTTTTTGGTAATTAATTAAATGGTAAGGAATCCATTATAGTATCAAACAAAAACGAATTAAATCGAGTGATATCGTAGGGGTACGTATTGTCCTTATAAAAAACATCGATATCATCTAAAGATCAATCGATAGAATTGACGAGCGATCAGTCAATTAAAGGGAATCTGTTGCAGAACTCATTTACCACGTTAAAGATCATCAGGTTTTAAGGAGCGGTATAGTATAGACTAAGTCACATGCAAATAATAAGTCAATGTCGTTATAACCTGCAACATCGCTTCCTACAATGAGAATGACAATGTAGTCGGCTTGAAACTAAAATTTTACGTGAGTAATTTGTTACGATAAACCTAGTTCATTGTCAGAGGTCGGTCGTTTTAAGCAAAAAGTTTAATGCGATTAATCATCAGACATTTCAGGTTGAAGTAAGAAATACAGAAAATGTTGTATAATATATAACATTGTCATTGCTTCCTTTATTTTTACTTATTTATGTTTTAGAAAGGGCGTGGATACATAAAGCGTCCAAAGAAAGATAAGCCTATGGAGCATTATTCAGTAAGTAACGAAATTCGCATGTAGTTTCTTGTGTGTTGGCCTTAATATTGTAATTTTTATGCAGAACCCGTTCAAGTATTTAAAGACTTCTTTATTGTGAACGAATGCCATTTGTAGGGATGGTGAATAACACATGAGAAATAATAAGGGGATAATGCAAAAAACTATGATACGTATACAGAAGGCATATATTTTCAATACATTTATTATCACTTGTATAGCTAGCGCTAGTACTAGGGTATTACTTAACCGACAGTGCAGAAATCGGATTCGTTGGCTAATAATATACGGTGTTTGGTGAGTACTTCATGAAAATTATACTTGAAACTATCGGATTCACATTCGAACGTTGTGAGTACATTGTAGCTTAAAATAGACTGTGAAGAATTATACCTCGAAGCCAAGTAACTTGCCATGCTTTATGTTAGTGTATTTGCTACTTGATTTTGCGTCAGGAAAGTGTTACGTAAACACCTTAAGTATGGTCGTATTACAACTGTTTAATAAAGACCAACCTTGTAGTCAAATTTTTAACTCATGCTTTAAAATCCTTCGTTGCAATACCTTCTGTTAAAAGCTGAATAAAATGCAGATTCTTGCCTTATGAAAAGAAGTCGGGTTTTCATCACACATGTAAGTATTCTGCATCTAGTATCATAACTCTCGCGTTATTCCGTTAATAAAGTGCTGAAAAATAGCGTCTTTAACAATGTAAAATGAGCGCAGGGCTTTAACCATTTTGGAAGCGTTAAAGCATTGCTAAAGAAGTTATTCAACTTATTTGGTTTGTCGATTAGTAAAGTTACACCAAATATATTAGACAAATGGTCGCAATTTATGATCCTTAGTTAGTATGAATTAGGGAAGTGCATCAAGAACCCAACTGTCAACACTTTACTTATTATAAATGCTGATAACTTAGACGTTGATATACGTCCTGTTTTTTGGCTAAAACAATTTCAAACCACATATATACGCGTATATAATACACAACCAGATTGGAGCATCTAAAATTGAATCACTTATCATTAATGCTGTAATTACATACGGATACACATGTCTCTTGACCGCTCTCATGTTTAGAAGTTCAATCAGAAGCTACGGGTGCAAACTATGTAAATCATCCCTAGATTTAGATTTAGTCTGTAAGAATAAGGTCAATAACATTACAACTGCGCCATTGCAAAAGTTAAGGCCTGTGTAATCTGTTACTATCATTTTATCAGATTCCTTACCATATATATATATATATATATGAAAGCTATGAAGTACTTATTAAACTCTTTATTGCTGATTATTTTGACATTTTATAATTATTTAAGTGTCTTATATACTATAATTTTCTTTCATGGTATGATACGTCCATAAAAGGGATCTTTATTATCGAGCGCACACTCCGTTTCTTTGACGTTAACCAACGTGCCGCTACAAAAGAAAGTAAAGTACATACTATTGACGGTCATATATTGTATAAATAAATATATATAATAACATACAAGGGTATTATATATAAGCACGCTGTAGATCGCGATTAATTATTTACGGGGATTTGTCAAAAATCCACTCAGGGTAGCACAACGTACCGCGTTTTGAGACTCAGTTTAAGTGAAGATGCGATCTGTCTTATAATTTACGACCTCTTAAATTAGTTGTTTCGTGCTAATTAAAAGGAAGTTTGCATTGTAGAATAAGTAACTTTGTCTTGCTTGATCTTCCATAGACACACTGATTATCGCATGGGAGGTTTGATATATGATCTAAGTGATTTTTTCATGGTTAATGTAACTTATTTGATTACATTGTCTGGCTTCAATTCTGGGTGGTGTTCAAGTTCCCTGAAGATTCGCGAGCGGAACGCCGCATAAGCCCACAGCTGATGCAAAGAGACATAGTCCCTGCTTGAAATCAAAAAGGATATCTTGTAAGAAAGTATAAACCAATAAAAATATAAAAAGAACAGTAGTTTACCAAAATAGTTCAGGAAAAAAGTGCAAGAACAGCCGAGTGAACCAGTAGTTAACCAGAATCGACATTCACAACCACACCAACAATCGCGGGAAGTTGGAATTCATAAAATGGGAATACCGAGTTATTAAGATTATATAAATATTTTATAGAAGCTACAAGTTCGTACTATAATGATGGGAAAACCAGCTGAGCGAAATTAAGCATAATTTCAAATATTCCACAAATTATAACCTACGTGATGTATTTTTAAGCAAAAAAATATTAGTTTAAAAATCAGGAGCGAAGGACGCAAGGAAAAGCAGTTCAGATCAAGTAAAGCTTGAGGTAACCTTCTCTGCGGAAACCATATTTTCTATCTTTTTTTATTTGTTGACTTGAAGAATCACTCACGCCTGATGACTGAGGTTTTACATGCCAAGGCATTAATACAAGATGATGTTTCTCAGTCAGTAAAAACTCTAACTATTAGAGAATGCCTACCTTATAACTATGGAATCTGGGCGATCTGATGCTTTTCTTCGGGGCTCATAATGTATCTGCCGACAGGAGCATTTGGTTGGATTTGGCACGCGCGCATGTGCTGCCTGAGACCCCTAACACTTGCACACGGTCACGCTCAACGTCCGTAAAATATACCTTCTTTATTCCTGTGATCGGCGTTGGCCTGCTCCACAGTGACAGCAAACTTTTGCAAATCGGTCTCGGTCTGTTTGTAAGCTACTTCGGCACTAAGTAACTCTATATCACTCAAGTCGTCCTCTATTACGATAACCTCTGCGTAAAGTTCTTCAACGTTTTTCGGACTTTCCGGTACATACACACTTTTTATCCACTAGAAGGTAAAATTCTTCACTTCCCTACTTAGAACGTTAAGAAGATAGGCAATGTCTATTAATATTATTTTTAGGTCATCCCAGGTGCGAGGTTGAAAGTCCTGTCCTTCGTCGATCCGGTTACAAGATGGAGCCCAGAAGCCAGGCTGGTCAGGATTGATTCTCATTTGTTGAGCCATTTCGATACACCTTGTTCTTACGGAACAAAATGTCAACATCTATCGCAGGCTACATAGGTAGAGCGCTATTACAGAAATATCAGCGGCTTTCGTATGACATAACTAAGACACGCCGGGTGCTCAACTACGCATATGTGCAGCTTCCTCTCTTGGTTGACCATTTCTTTGCTTTGAACTCAGTTTGATTATAAAGCATTGTCTTAGCAATGACCAGTGCTGACCAGCTGGTTTGCTTGCGAGATGTTAATGCAGGTTGATTGTTCTTGCTATTTCTAAGGTACTGAGATCGTAACTGTGAGTCGCGATTTACACCACGACGTGAATTTTAGAGCCTTTACCAGCTACGACACTTTGACGACTGAGCACGCGGTATTAGTCTTCAGCTAGCTTTACAGAGTAGACTAGAGTAGTATAGGTTGGTTGTTCGTTTGTCCGAGAGAAAAGACGATCTGCTACTGCTGCTGCGACTACTAGCGTCACTTATAAAGCTGCTCAAATAGTAATACAAATAACCTCATAAATTGTATTACTCAAGCAATGGATTTCCATTCTAGTTTCGGCCCAGGGAGGACCAGTTTTCACCTAATAACTGCTAACTCGAATAGCTCTATCGATTTGTATTGTGTAAGGCATTGAGGATGAGTTTTTTAACTTCAAGTTATAACCTAGAGGCTTTCGCGCTGCGGGTATACGCGCATATGTTTCCTTAATCGCACACCGCACCAGTGCTATAGGTCCCCATAGACAAAGGGATGGACTAACAGCCGCAAGGAACCCTGACGCTTGCACTTACAGGTATACGCTCGCCCAAAACGTCCGAGCGTACACGCCTGAACTATATAAAGACACACAAACAGACAGCTACATTCATACTTCGCATTCTGGCAGGCTGCTCAGTGTTACACGTTATTTGTAAGAAAGGCCTCTGGCCCTCTCGCCGCCAAAAATCAAATGTTGATCGATGTATCAGATGGCAACAAGACAACGTACATGCCCATCTCGCCTAATTATATTATATTATAGTTTCATACAGCTGAACATAGGATTGAATGAGTTCGTCTATTTGTGATGGACCTCATTTTACACTATTACAATAATTCAATGGAATTTGCATAAGTAAAGTAAAGCATAAATATAGCAATGTAAACAAACATAAATGCGATGCATATGTTTAGCTCGTAATAGAAAGAGAACCATGTCCACTGCAGTAACATGACCTACATGTAGAAGTTATTTACCGTTAGTAACTTCCAGAGAGATGTGGCGGCATTTAGGCTATGAACAGTTGTGTCTGGTTTAGACGAATATGCACGATTTAGAATTGAAAATCGCGGAAAAAAGTTGACCCAGTTATTAATTTCCTAAAAAATATATAATAAGCATATTTAAAACTTTGTTGAACCATCCCAGAATAAGATTACATTTCACTTCACGTTTAACATATATATATATGAGTTGTATGCATTTATTTCAAAATTTGTCTTATTGCATTTTTGGATAATAACGTATTTACTAGGAATCTCAAGTGGAAGCTACTCTTAAACTGAATAACAAGTACCCAAAAAGCAAAGCTCAGAAAACTCAACAATATAATTTCTGTTTCAATTTTTTTCCTGTAACCACCATGATTTGAAAAAGACCAAGAAGAATGTAAACCGATAGTTATTGTATAAGCTTATCATAAAATACACCGGCCATAGGAGGACATTCGCCTTTTACATGTTCCTTATTTATCCGTTATTCATGTATAAATTAAGATTCTAGTTTCACGTAGCAGTGTTAGGCCGTAACTTTAAATTCATATGGAAAGTTGTTCCATTCACTTGTAGCCACACCTTTTTTCATTTGCAGTTAGCCGAAAACAGTTTTGTTTTCAAAAACAAGTAAAACTAGCGTTTTCCTTCGTATAAAGTGCGCATTGAATTTTAAATCTAATGAGCCACAGAACTAACTGGTATTTTTTTGACGACTGCCTTAAGATGTTGATTACTGTGTGGTATTTAAATACGTTGTGAATATTAAGATTTGCATGCTAGAAGCAAGCTGTCGAAACTAATAAGGGAATTCCAAACAAAACTTTAATTGGATAATTTTGAACGACTTGGTGTTTTTCAATGGTTCTTTTGTAAATCGTTTGTCACATTACAATCATATAACATAATAAAGGTTCAATTGAAAGCACAACAGGAATATATATAGAGACACATAAAGGAATACCAGGACTGCACAGCCGGTCAGACAATACTGTTTGATCAATATTTGAACAAAAATATCGACTATTTCAGATCCTTCTACAACGTTAAATCTAACGTCTAACGAGATGAAAATCTTAAAATAAATTATCAAGTCTTTTATCATCAATATGGCCATTTGACAGACTGAAAGGTAACGAGATTTATTTAAGGTACGTTCAGCAGTTAAGGAGAAAAAATTTCGTAACGTCCTTTCTAAGTTTGCACCGGTTATTATTTTTGCGTCCGTGTTTACCTAAAATGAAAGAGGCAGGTCATTTGCCAACGAGAGTTTTTTTTATAATGAAATCATTGTTCATAAAAAAAAAACGTTATCGACTATTTACTAAATGACTAGGCTCAATGACTGATTTTCCGTATTATACGATGGTCAGTCAATGCTAACTTACTGGATAGGGAATTTTATTTGCAGTATTTCTAACATTTAACACTCTTCGGAACTTATTTCATATGCCCCTCGACGCAATACCTTTATATTTCTTGGCTAGCTCTTTCTAAACGTAGAAATCAATCTGCCCGGGGATTTCCTTGTTCTAATAAATCGCCTTATATTTTCGCAGTATGTATGTCTTAGGTTTCAGAATTCATAGCTCCCTATTCTTGACCGCCTGCCACACGCCTCTGTGCTTTCTAATCCATTTGAATGGTGTATTGGGGTCCACACTTCAACCTGCTACTTCATCCAGGATCAACTTCCATCATTAGAAGCCATTAGGAATATCTCCTCCAAGTCTTTTACATGGCGTACTTGATCAATAAAATTTTTAACCAGCTTTGTCGAATTCTATTATCGTATTTTTCAGTCCTGAGATCTCATGTATTACTCCAAAATGCCATTTTCTGTATGCATCTTAATGGCGGCTTTCTGACCCACATGAAATTGGCTATTAAGAGTTGTTCTTCTTGCGAACTTCGTGTTTTTAAGTGTGATCGGAAGTCTAGCATGTATTATATTTTTCTCTAAAAATAAAATATTTTGGCTGGGAACTTAATAGCTCTACTGGCAGGTAAAGATAGCGTACTCATTACTAGGTCAGCTGAGATCTTATGGACCAATGTACTTCATTTTCTTCACCACTTTCCCTAAGTGTTCCTTAATAATTCTTGCTATTCATTCCGTTGAATCATTTTTAATAGATAATATGAGACTGAAAGTGCATATGGCTCCATTCTTTAAAGTGATCGTGAATCACCATTAGCTTGTAGATTTTGGCCATTATTACTCCTATCTGCAGGCTGGTGGCGTCTACTAACATAAGAAAATTCAGTTCGTTTCATGAGCCAGCATAATTCTTGTGAACTTGGATGAATAAACGCGGAGGTTCCTCCCAAAAATGCATTTTTGATTTTAGGGCGTTGTTCATATGTTTCATCTTGCTTTCGCAGTTCATCGTAAGGCTGTTCAAATTACCATCAGGTGGCTCATTGAATGTGTCTTCTCGCCAAATTCTCAGTTTTTTTGTGTTCTAAAATGCCCAATATAAGGTTCTCCCAAATTTTTGTTGTAAATATAATATCTGCTGTTTTAAAGTCTCCTCAAACATTCCACAAAGTTTAATCCGTGTTGCATTGGCAAGTAGGTAATCTTATATCATCTTTACTAGTATATGATAACATTTATGACAGCCGTAAATATTGTCTTTCTCTCTTTGCTTGAATTCCCGCAGGTTGTCAATATGTGATTTCGCCGATCGTAATATAACCACATTGATTTTAGATAAAAACGAGTTCTACTGCGTCTGCTGCAGAATGCTTTTTACTTCCCGATTGCATCTTAGGGGTTTGCTCTTCTTTATCTTCAAGGTGCGTAATTTTCTAAAAATTATAAATTTTCTTTTGCGAATTTTACGTAATTCATAGTATTTACTCTAACTAACAAACTGTTGTGTCATTTTTTGAGAATCATTTAATCCTTTTTTGATCACATTTTGATAATTTTTGTCACACTATGTTCGTTTGCAGTAAAGTTACTTGTACAAACTTTTTCTTTTAATGAACTGGGCTACTGATTTACCGAAAGATACACTTCTCAATGTATTTAATAGGTACCGATACTTCATACATTCTGTTTAATGTAGCTTCTATATTATTAGAAAAAAAACCTGCGCACTCACTAACCGAAATATTCTAATAAGTTATTGTGTACCGCAAATTAACCAGGAGTGTTTACTCTTGATCAATCTATGAAGTGTTTAAAGAAGCTAAATGTATTAACCTTAGGTAACGGAGGGTTCATATTGGATTTCAGGGGAGTCTTTTTAAGAAAGATTACTCATCAAGGGTCACTTCTTGTTTTTCACTCAATCGTCAATGATTCAGTTCGTCACCATTGTTACTCAATATGAGGTCTTAACACGCCCTATTATACTTTATCTTAGACAAAATACCACATGGAACATTCTCAAATGGCTTTCATCTTTCGCGTTCCCTTCAAAAGAACTGAAGAAGTAATAAATGGGATAAAGAAGCAAACAATTTATTGAACAAAGCACGTTTCTGCTGTTTTTTTTTTTCTTTTTGTATTCAGCCGGATTAACTGCAAGTTTTTTGATTTCGCTGACATGTCTTTCATTTTGCCATATTCCGTGTGTATTTAAACAGGCAACTAAATGATTCCTTCTGCTTATCAGCCTCTTTATTAAAAGCTCATCAATTCAATGTTTGCGTGCAAGCCTATTGTACCGCCAGGGCACATTTTCCAGTTCGACATCCCATCATTCGTTTCGTCTTAGACGTGATAGATGTGACTACATTACATGGGAAAGCTATTCTAATAAAGCTCAACCAGAGTTTGATAAAGTACTTGTAGAGTTTAATGAGGTCCGTGATGACGTAACATACTTGGCACACATGGTGGTTCAAGTTCATAACCGAGCGTAGAGCTTTATGAGGCTCAACATTATCAAATATAGTGTTCCAAAATTCACTCATCAATGTCTGAATAAATCTCTTTTAGTCTCAGTAGTTTTAGAAGTCCTATCGACCGATTACTGCCACGGCAAATTTGATTGACATTTAACGAATAATGGTTCTACAAGAAAAGCAAAGGATTGTGCGGGAGCGTATATAGCTACTATCAACTTGACCAACTGATTTTTAAGGATATTTTTTAATCAACCTGAATCTGTTATATTATAATGCTTTAATACAACGAATTCAGGTTGCCTTAGGTTACTAAAAGTTTTAGAAAGCAGGTTCGTCCGGCTCAAAACGCTTCTTTACAGGACACTGGACTCGATTCGGTAAATAATTTTGCCCCAACAGGGGGAACTTTGTTTTTACTTTTACAGCGTAATAGTTTTTTTTTTAGGTCGCAAACCGACGCCAGTAAATGCCTCATTTCCAGCATCACATGTAAAACACGCGCAGGAAAAAACCTTTGGGTGGCTCTTTAGTTTGTTCTTCGAGAAGTCGTGGGCAGCTAATTCGATTCTGCCTTAAATGCTTTTTTAAATGGTCCAGTTACGTTGTTTTTCTGTTTCATCCTGCGAAGGTCTACTTCAAAAAGGGAGCCGATCGGCTAAACACTTTTCTTTCAAAGGGCAAAAACCGAGCTATTGCGTCTTATTGCGCCGCGTGTATCAGGCCGACTAACGATATGTGAACGTTGTGCTGTGCGGTCAAACGTACTCAATTATAACCGGACAAAATTAGTCAAAAACATAGGAAATGCGGCGTGAAAATACTTTGCTGACATACCTGAACTTGACAATGAAAAAGATAATCATGCACATCAGCCGAGTGCGACCCTCTGGAGCTCTCAGACCATCTCATTGACCTCCTATTAGAAGGCCGTACCTCTAACATAAATAACGGCAAAGCAGGCGGCTCCGGAACGTCTGCCATCCGGCCCATCTCATAAGCATGTTTGAGCATCTCCGTCGCCTTCGTTTCGAAGATCTGCCCACTTGTGGCCGCGCCCTTGCCTACGCTAGCAGTGACAACCCATTTCTTTCCCAGCTAAAGATAGAGATTCGCTCTTTGGCACAGTAGAAAACTGCCCAGAAAGGCCATCGGTGCGTCCGTCAAGCACCTTCCTCCTCTAAGCATACCCCTGGCCATGGGTGACCGCTACTTAACCAACAACCCATTCGCACCTGCTAGCCGGACCACATCGACAGTGATAATGCACACCCTTTAAACACTCCAGACGACAGTCCTGAAGGCCCAAATTATGCCACGTGAAGATTATGTTACGCAGACAAATGTGCCCAATTTAGGCTGGGTAAAAAATTGAGAATGCAAGCATAAACTTTTAAAATTGTTGTTACTCCTTTGACTTACACTTCACATCAAGCAAGGTGTAATACGAATCAAACATAAGAAGCTAATCAATTACCTGCTGCGTGTCTGCTGGATCTCTACAACACTCCAGTGAGAAAGCAAGATACGGCGGTACATGTATAGGGTCAAACGCAATATATGCAACAGGATACCGACACTGTAGTCACATTGCAGTGGCACAGCAGAAACAACTGAAGAAAGGCAGGAAGTCTTGATTTGGGAAGGTTTCAGAGTGACAATGCGTATGACGTCAGGAATATTTAAAACCGTTATGTTACATGAAGAAATATGATTGACATGTACTGCATGAATGGTTGTCTTTCAACCGTATTATGAAAGAACACGTTGGGTTTTGTGGCTATCAAAAGCGTAGATAAAAATAATGCGGTCATCAAAGAAATAACAAATTAAGTCAATCAAAAACATTTAATTGCTTTAACTTTTTATCTATACTACTAATAACCTTAGGTAACGAGTTTGTTCTACCCAAAACGACCCTTAAGATAATCCGATCTGTTTTTTTTACAGTCGTTTTAGATTTTTTGGATAGAGCAGTGTAAAAGATAGTTAATCAGACAAACATATTTGCCTTTAGAAAGACAGGTTCGGTTTTCTCTTGTGTTATGTTAGCTTTTTATGAATAGAAGACAGCAACTTCCTTCTTACTTCCTACGCTTGAAAATACCACGGCAGTCACCAGCATCATTTTGATATATCATCGCATATATAACTATCAGTTTCAATTACCCGCTGGGCACATATTTTTGCTTCTAGATAGAAAAATTCACTCATCTAAAATGTCACGTTCGTCTCCTGCAATCATTGGGTACGACACTCATCAGATGGTAACAAACATATGGAACACAAAGCACTGTGTTCGTATGCCCGAATTGTATGATGTGAAAAATTATTTGAACGCCGTCAACACTTTGACTCGGCGCTCTAATACGCGCGCACCGCTTCAACTGATAACGACCGATCACTGTCGGGGACAAACTGCGGGCAAGCCACGACATTCGAAACACTTACACGCCTACTTTGCAATGCCGATAGCGCCGATCGTCGTAAGCCGTTTTTAGGGCCTTGAAAGCGAAGAGAGAATGGAAAGCCGCACAGCAAATATTGGAGCCTCCTTTTATGTCTTGTCCTCGCATTCACGACAACTGTTCGATGTAGGTGGTTGGATCGTTCTGACAAGTATATGTCCACCCCGAGTCAGACCTATAACAGGAGCCGGACACCGACTCGAGACTTACCGAGTAGGAAGGGCCTTAAACCTCACGAGGCGCGCTCTTGACGCGCCCGATGATAACTGCCAACATCAACCCGACCGCAACGGTGCTACTACCAATTCGGAAGTAGAGCACAAGGAGGACAATAACCCGTTAACTTATTCAAATCACAATTAACCCCCACCTAGTCACAAACCGACTTCTACGACGTCTTCTCGCTTGATATTTACCGGCCAATCCAACAAAACAGGAACCAAAAAACCTGTCAGCAAGTATCGGCCCAATAAATAAGATAAACCGTCACTGGGCAGCCCTGTTGTTCAAAGCTAAGAACGCACATTTATGCGGTGTCGGAGGTAAAAATTGTATTAATGTGTTTACAGAACTCAGCGTGCTATAAACCAACACGCCTACAACCAAAGCGTTTCGTGCGACCTGAAAACAATATAATAGACACGTACGGATGACGTTTGCGCGCTTGACCTAAGGCACCCTTTTGGGAGTACGTACAATCCTTTCTCAGTTATACAGAATCACTTGTATTACCAGATAGGTGCACCCAAGCCAGCATTAACGAACCATATCAATCTTTTTAAATGTATGTTACAGACCTTCGAGCTGCCATCGAATGCCTACTGCAAATTATAAATCGTTCCGCATTGTACTACAGGGTGTGTTCCGATGCGCGAATTAAATTACCACAGCAAAGGGAAACGTTTGTAATATATGCAGAGGTCCACGTATTGATCTGGATCAACGACCACTAGAAGAACCCGGTCACGCGTTCCAATAGTCGACGGAGTAGAAGTTGCTGTTCAGGATTGCTGCGGTCTAACTACGCGCGGCCGGATTTTAGGCCATTTTGTAAGTAACCCACGACAGTCCTTAGTACGTTTTCCTGCTCCATTTAGACGACAACAATTGGCATCTTTAGCCATGGACAACTCACAACAGGCAACTAACTACATTCCAATCCTACCCCTAGCGCTTTATGAGTCAAGCTGGTGTATATAACCGCCTGCATGAGGCAAGCCTGCCTGATACAGACCGTTAAACGCAGTAACTAGTCGATATAGCGATGAAGCAACGACATATAAGAGACTTTCTGATGCAATCGGCAGTGATAACCTAGTTGACGTGGAAAAGCGGTGCATCCTATTTTCGACATTTAGAGGTGGCCCATGATATGCGGCGGAACTCGGATAGGACTCCATGTACGTTCCCAGTTTCAGCAACGCTTTACTGTGCTCAACTATCACGTATAATGTACGATGGCCCAATAGTGTGCTCCACCTCTTTGAAGGCCAACTGCCAGAGGATAATTTGAATTGATTGAAGTTGAGGATTGAAGTTGAGGAAATAAAATACTGCTTAAACGGCCGACATATCGGGCCCTGTCAAAATGTTTTACAAATACTGTGCTTCTTTTTTTACGAATGGGATTCTCTCATTCCCTGCGACTCGACCTGCACTTATGCCAGAAGCAGCAGAAGCTCTTCCACAAGGGAATAACACCCTGCGGCGTTAAGATTTGCGGGAAGGCCACAAAGGTTGCTGCATTTAAGGCGCTCTGTTAACATTCGCTAAAATACTATTTCATGCTGAAGTACTAAAGTTCTAGACGTAAACATAGTAACAGGTGAACAAAACAGAGATGCGGCTTCCACGTGCCTCGCTTTTCGTTACTATCAATGAATGCTCTTGGCCACAGCAACGTAGCTGATTCCCGCTAAGAAAAAAATGAAAGCTAATAGATACTTGCATTTTGCTCCATTACGCCCGGGGACCTGATACATCGTTCTTCACGCGTTGAAAGCGATTGGTACAGATCACATTCACAGAAACCTGCCTGCAGAAGAGGCTTCTCTACAATGAATGACGCTTCCAATCGCTATCGCACACTATGATCCGGTCCTAACGTATTTCCGAGGTAAGCTGACGGAGTATAACTTGACTTTATAAAACCTTCTTTCTTCTCCACAACATCGTCCAGAGGTCAACGCTAGCGTCAAGATTAGCAGTGAACTCTAATATAACCTCGCTGAACAGCACAAACTTCAACTCACACACGAACGACTCTCAGATCAGGCTCGGTGAGCGGCATACAGTAACGTTTGCACTTGCCTGGAGGCAAGCCTAACTAAAACGATCTTCGTCAACGAGCCTGGAAGTACGGAAAAAATCTTCTTTAGTATTTCGCAAACGTGCGCGCTGAAGAAAAGTGGCGTTCGCAGAATCCTCTTCAGGCATCGCTACAATGTTAATGTTTTTCAGCCATTCTGCGCATTCCCGCGTTATAGTACACCTCTAAATCAAGGAAAATATGCTATTTATTATTGTCTTCCTCGCCTCACAGAACTGTATTCGACGAGTTCTTCAAGAACCTAAGAAGCCGTCGATCGGTGTCTCCATAACATATGGGGGACTGGCAGACTGTTGGATGGAATTTTAGCACTGTGCTCTGGTGCCTTTCGTGAGCACGGGACTCACACTGACATTGAAGATGCGTGTATCAAACAGTCTAAATAACCTGTGAAGGTATTTTTGATAACTTGACCACAACATACGCCATATCCTTGCTTTAGCCAAATATATATATATATATATAATAAATTAGATTGTCGAGCAAGTATTGACGGTTTTTCTATATGGCTTTAACGTTACCTATTTCAGGCAATGGGAACTGGCTCGGGTCGGCGTTAGTGTCATTTGAAAGCCGAAATTTGGCAGCAGATGCGCTTTTACTTCTGCGAAAATTCGATTTCTTTACTTTATTAGATTTACGATAAGAGCATAAATGGTACTTAAGCCCAGTAATAAATGTGCTATGTTTTTGATCAAAGTGTGTTATCGGAAGAAAGAACCCAAAGATGGCTCAATCGCCTTCGCCCTAGAAAATTCGACGTGAACATTTCTATTCTTACGGAAAAAAATCAATGAAATTATTAATAGAACTGAAATGGTCTTATACACTTTAGGAAATGCTTAAGAAAGATACGACAATGGACGAGGATCTGTATATAGCGCAATTATACCGAATAGACCTCACAGACAAGGCAAAGTTATTTTTCACACATCCTGTATTTTTATATATTCGCATCGACGGATTACCTTTTACAATCACTAGAAAGTAGAGTTCGCAACAGTAGACTTCGCAATGAAGAGCGCATTACAGACTGACTGGGGGAGTTCTGCAATAGGAAACTTGAAATTCATTAACGAGCAGGGCGAGAAATAGCAACAGGCTGTACAGAATGATCAAAAAAATTATTTATTTAAAATTATTAAAAAATTATTTATTTTATTCAAATATTTTGCTGGTGAAATTCAAATGAAATGTTGTGTTTTTCTTATGTAAAAACTTCCATTATTTTTGGACACGGAGGCAGAACTTTTATACATTTACGCATTTCCTTAATAAGCATGTTTAATATATAGAATAAGAATGAAACAACCCGCGATTAAGCATGCCCTTCTTTGAGGAGTGGCAGTACAACATAGTAGGCTTCTAGGGTTTTTGAAGCACTTGTCGAATACATGAATATTTTAGTCTGCTATCTACTCCTCAATTTCCAAACTCTTCCGTAATTTCTAGTTTTCTGAACTTTATTTATTTATATTTACTATGCTATACATTTTTTACAAAATCTTTAGCAAGCTAACTACCTAAGAAATTAAAATTGCCTCTATATTCCATTGTAATTGAATACATTCGTTCCTCTCAACACAACAACACGTTATTATTAGGAAAAAAAAAATATTTATTTAATCATACGCATTTGCCTTATGTTTGGGCAAAAAGTTGAAATCATCTCTAACAGGTCCAAGGAGCATCTCGGATATTCGAACCCAGTCCGCGCAGGACGCCGAGGCCATTAGCGTTTCGAGTTCATTACGTCCCCTATACGATGGAGGTCGATCGTTGATTTTTTGCGGAAGTACTTCTAATAGACCCACAGGAATGTATCTAAAATATAATTTACACACTTTTGTATACCTGGAGACTCAATCAGTTGAGGCAGCCGCTGTCATTTAGGACAATGGTAGTAAGAAATATGAAGACTAGTTTTAACTACTGTTTATAAAGAATATGAAGCAAATTAGTCAATTAATTCTTTGTTAGCTCCAAATTTCATGGCGTCCAAAATATGTGCTTTGATCGCACCTGGCCACCCTACTATAGATTTTTGCTTTGGAATATCATGGTAGTGAATTTAAATGTGATCAGCAACCCGCTCTTTTAAGAGCTACACGTACTCACACCTAAAAAAAGTAGTGTTTCTTGCTACTGTAACGGCTTATTTATGTAATTACCTGTAGAGAAAGGAAAGCCACTCAAGAAGAAATCTGCGGGTCCTTTCAACCCCTTCTGTGTCAGAGCCCCAGTGATCTAATCCGTAATTGGTGTATTTTTTGAGTAGCTCGAAGCGCTCGGATGAGGAGATATCCCAGTGTCGTTGTTCTTTTATCTCAGTAAATAGCCAAGGCTTTATAAGCGCGCCCCTAAAACCAACATTAAGGACTAGAACATTAAAAGTAAAGAAAGATATCACGTACTGCCTATGCTGCGATGCAGATATTGAAACTAACTTTTGCGTAAAAAAATGTTTGTATATAACAAAAACAATATAATAAAATAAAATATAAACTTAATATGCATTTTGATTAATAATTAAATTACCTAGCATGCATTAATGTCAGTATTAATATAAAACAATGGTACATCACGTTCTGAGTGGTGTATATTTAAGCTCACTGTCTAGTGGATTATAAGAGATTTTTACATTATTAAATATTTAGAGGATCTCTAGAACTAAAGGATCACGGTGAAACAACCTAAAAATTAAAAAAAAAAAATATGCAAAAGAGCGCCACAATCACAAAGTTGAAACTACATTTAAAAAAAAAACTGGAATTACCTGGCGAGCAGTATTCCATCAACTTTATAAGTACAGCTGTTCCTCTCGTAATCTTCGTAACTGAGAACGTCCCCACTACCGAAAAGCGGTATTTGTGGATGGGCCTGACGAACACACTCGCCAATGTAGGTCCAATTAGCTGACTTTGTATAGCGCTGTTCACGCGATCTCCCATGAACCTATTAACAAATAGATTTTTTTTCTATAAATCATGATTTAGATAAAGACTGAGCACCAGGAATGAAAGTGCCGAAGAACTGTCGTGTATGAATTCACAATTAGTAACGATTGGTAAGATAAAATGTAAAGTTTCATTGTATAAATCACACATACATAGGTGCCTTGTACATTATGAACGAGTACGAGGCCTGCCTTGATGGACCTTCTATCATAAATCTGAGCTATTAATAATAATAAAATGCCAAATCACGAACGTAGGTTCGTACCGTGAACAGTGAGATACGTTTTGCCCATGGCTTTAAATCTTCAATGATTTTGTGTGCAATATTACGATCTTCTTGGACAGCCGCGCGCATTTTAAGCGTGACAGGAATATTAGATGCTTCCGTCATGGCAAATACGATTTCGTTCACTTTGTTTGTACGGTTCATGAGTCCAGATCCCGCTCCCTATTAAAGTAAATAAATTTACAGTTTTGATCTTACTAAATGATTAATTATTTACATAAGATAAGCGTTATTGTCCTAAATCACCCACCGAAGACAATCCGCGACCATATTTATCGACAAATGTCAACTCCCACATCATAAACCCTAACGGTATTGTAACAAGTCAGTGTTTAAAGAACACTATTGATAGATCCTTGGTCAGTCAATTAAAACAGGTAACTTCATACTCATGTCTTTAGACAGCTAGAGAGTTTTCATATCTATGGAAGCAGCAAGAGATACACAGATTATTATCACAAAAACGGATTTAGCTATCCACGAGACGTGCTTTAATAGTATATTTATATTTCTATTATATCATCTAACCATAGCGTTATATACGCTCAAAATTCAACAGCTACAACCATAGCTACTATGGTTGTTAAAATGATTTTATTAACTATTTAGTACATTTACAATAAGGTACTATAGGTATATAGAAATGGTACTAAAATGCCTTTGTTGCAAATCTATTGCGCAGTTAAATCTACTATTTTTTTTCAATCGTTTGTGCATCTTCTGCATCATCCTAAAATAAGGACTATCCGACTATAAAGAGACTGTTCCCTATTTCATCATTTATATATCATTATCTAAAACACATTTTAGTAATATGTATGTTAATAAGAACCTGTTACATTTAGTATATGTTTTATAAGCTTCATAGGAATCAACTGTAACTCAAACACTTACATACATATACCATATACGAAAATATAGAAATTTACTTTAGTGATCTAATTTCGATTTGAACAATCACCTTTTTATAAATGAGATCGATTGGGCAACCCATATTGATGTCAATAAAATCTACACTGCACTGCTCCTCCAGCAGCAGGGCACACCGGGCCATTACGTCGGCATGACCCCCACACAACTGTAAACGCAAACGCGAAATATTTTAATTCGGCGATAAACAACTTTAAAGATCATAACTTTCTATGTGAACTTTGTATCTAAGTCGAGAGGCATAATTTTTAAAAGAAACAGCTTATAATGAAGAGGTATTTATTATCTACTGTCATTTACCTGAACACCAAAGATGTCCTCGGAAGCATGTCTCCTAAGTAGAGCCCATTCGGACATTTGTCCTTGTAGAAGCTTTGTAGCCATTGCCATTTCACCACAAGTGATGTCTGCCCCGAGCTCTTTACATATACGACGAAACGGAAGGTTTCCCACAGTTGTCAGCGGAGCAAGATACAACTTACCTCTGAAAGTGTAAGTCATAGTAGAACATAGTGCATTCAAGTATTATTATTACCAATATCTAAGTGTAATTTTTCCAGCTTGTTCCCTAAGTATAATGACATACGTTTGTATGCTGCTCTCGCAAATGATTAAATTTTGCATTCCAGAGCCCTGTCCACATGTGATTCCGTTTCAAGAAATAGTGCTCAAACGAAGATGTAAATAATAATCGTTACCTATCAGCAAAAATTTCCGTTCTCATTCATAGTTGTGCATTTATAACCAGACCAATCATATGAAAATTTCTAAAAGCGCCGTGTTTTTATTGAAAAAAAGCAACTAGTATTTAACTCACTTAAAATCAATCTTCTTGCGTTCTTCAAGACGCAATTTTACCTTCTCGCTATCATCGGCTGTTTCGTTCTTATATTTAAGATACTCTTTACTATTAATTCTCTCTAGAGGATGTTTGGTCTTGACAAAATCGTAATGTTTTTTCCAGAGTTTTGCTTGTAGTTCTTTGGTGAGCAAGTTCGTTTCAGGCTCATCTTCACTACCTGCAAAAGACAACGTTGATATGGTAGTGGTAAAGAAATCTGTATTGTGCACTTACAATGGACCACATTTTTAATAAGGTTCGGCAAATTTCTCGGAAGAAAAATAATACTAGTCTAATATATTATCAAAATTTTTGCACATTGGGTTGTTAGTTCTACAAATTTTCTCACAGTACGAAATGATCATTAAAAAAGAGGATTCCTCCAACGTAGAACATAGTTGTGGAGAATGGCTATCTTTAAGTGTTTAAAAATAAAAACTAGAGGTTTATTTTATATATATTCAATGAAGAATTAACAGGTAATTCAGCCAGCGTAATTGGACGTATAGGGATCTTTTTTGCAGCTCAGTAAATTCCCTCTAAAAGAAAAGTTCTCTTTTAGCTTTCTTAAAAAAGCTAAAAGAAAATAATAGTTTCATTAATCATTCACCGATGTGAATGTATTGCAAAAAAAGCTTTAAAGAACTGTCATCAGATCCCATTAAGAATATGTTTATTTTTAATGCGACTGAGCCTATATAGATATCCCATGCTCATTGTTTTTGACTACATACATTTTCAAAAGCAGGCGGTTGTTAAAAATACGTTGATTTATACTTTTCAATATACCTTCATAAGGTGAAAACTTAATCGAGAGATTAACATCAGCTGCACTGCTTATGATCTGTGAAAATGTTCTGCGTAACATCTACATTCTCCGCAGTACAGTTTTACCGAAAACGATTCCAATGGTTTGCAAATAGAGCATCTAACAAGTAACCTGGTTGGCAAGTTCCCTCGGTAAGCGTTCCCAATTCCCGCAACATAGCAGCGTACATATAGACACTAAATGGTCCCCGTGATATCTTAGTGAGTAACGAATCCGGGCATAGACACATTTAGTTTCGTGCTGGGAGCCAGCCGTCTGGTGGAATGCTTAATAGCGATAGCGGATGTAAAAAAATAAACTCGAAACACAGAGATACATTTAAATAACTATTACCGGTAAAAAAGTGCTTCATCACCTGTAAACACGTTTTTGTCAGTAATGTTTCTGCCTTGTTTCAGGTGGTGCCCACTAAATCTGCACGTCATCCCATAACGACAGCGACCGTACTTTTCAAAAAGGTAACATGTGTCCCCGATGTCTGGTTCTTTAGTGGCTATATATTTATCAATATCATGGCTGTAAAGGCAATTTTCGTAGGGGCAGTTGCCACGCAGAAACTTGAAACACAGCTTTGTAGACTTGTCTGCCTTTTGATGATGCGGTCTAGCCTTATTTTGACCTAAAAAAGAATAAATTGCGTTTAGTCAAACTTAACCACTAACTTAATAACAATGAATATCAAAAGCCATTACCCCTTCTCTTGCCGAGGAGCACACTGGCAGACATAATCGATATCATTACTCTACCTTTGAAGCGCATATTGCTCATGCATACTGTAATACTGACAAATATGTCTAAACACCACTCTTTTAGCTACAATTCTCATTAGCAGTAATATCTTACAAAACCGGTGACTATCATGAATATAGAAACAGGAAATTATTTAAAATTTTATGCGACATGTTGCGGCACTGGCTCAGTAAGGTATGAGACAGTATGTGGATGCTATGTACACGGAAATGCTGGACTAAGCCCGCCAATGAAAACACAAACGAGACAGGTAATAATAGAACTAGCATTATATTTACCCTTGATCTTCTTGCATGGCGGTTGGTCAGCATTGTCATTTTGTTTTTTCAATTTAGCTTTTACGGCTTTGGACACATAACTAAGGTTCAGCTCCCGTTGCCTCTCTGGAACAATATATCTGCAAATAAAAAATGTTTTTGTTCCATTAGTTATACAATTTCAAAGCATGTCCTTCGTTTACAGTATCAAGTTCGTTAACTTTATTAATAAACTAACAAGTACAATCACTTAATCGATTTATATGTCCGGAGAATAGTATTACACAAACATATTACAATTTGTTTCAGTACAATGCATGTCATTTGGCCCGCAAAATAAACGTCAAAAGAAGCAGTGCTAACAACGTTCCTAGATGCTAGAAACGTTGCATATATCATATTAGCATGTAGTTAATGTCGCAACGAAGAATGAATGTTTTTCAATTTTTTGAGTTCCCGAAGTGCGTCTTCACATAAATGCATAAACCGTTTTACTTCAACACGGGTAGCGCTCCTAGATAATCTAACGCGCAAAATTTATTCACAGTTTGAATAAATTTACTGTTGAAGTGATCTACTTTTTGTTATTATTAAATATTATTATTACTGTGAAGTACTATTATTATTATTATTATATTTTAAACTCCGCTTACCATATTTATGGGCGCTTTTATGAGAAATAAACAGACTCCGTTATTGACCAAAACACCTTCTAATTCCGTTCATATAGTAGTATTCGGTTCATCGAATAAAGAAGTCAAAGCTTCCAGTCATGTTAATACTTTGACACCCATTTTTCAAAATTGAATCTAAAATATTTTTCATAAATGAAAGATATTTCTGAAAAGTAAGCTGAATTAATTTCGTCCATTGAATGATTTGACGTATCACCCTAGTTCACTAAAACTTACTCGGGTTTGATTAATGCGATTGCTTGACATTTATGCGGATGTTCGGTAGCAACTGTGTCTCCCACAGAAGGCATCAACGTTACCACGTCGGTTTTAGAGGTACTTGCATCTTCCGTCGGAGCTCCTGATAACATTTCCTCGTCATTACCCATCTTACAAAATTATCAATTTCATACAGACACAAGGATCCAAATTTCATTATGATCAGATGCTGGCTGGTGTCGCGCGCACGTTCATTCAGTCAGTAGACAACACGAGACAGAGCTGCAGGGCGATTTAAAAGTTAGCGCCACAAGGATGTTGATTATGTGATTGCAGCAAACGCGCACTTATTTTAGTTTGCAAAGTTCGTGTACTGTTAATCACATCACTATAGTAAAATGAGTGTAAATACGAAGCCTTATTATAAAATATTGTGATTGATTATGTATATTTGTATTGTTCATTTTCCTCCTGTGGTGGTAATAGTAACTGCAGCTGATATTCATGCTGAGTACCACAACTCTTGTCAACTACACGGCTACGTCTAACAAAACCAGGTTAGTGTCAAGTTATTAAGAAGTTCAAACCCATAAACAAAAAGCTCTGATTCACGTATAGTACAGTCAATGAACCTCAAATTTGTAGAGCAAATAAAACATGTAGATTCGTTCTTCTAGATTAATGGCGAATTGTTTTGCCTTGGACGCAGTAGTTACATTGAGTCGCCGGAACCGGTGCAGGACCTGCCAAAGCTTGTTCTACCCAGCCAACGAAAGAGAACGAATAGTTTAGTTTTCTTAAGCGGTACCTTTGTACGTTATTTTACAATAAGCAACATATCGCTGGGTCAATATGAATGAGCGACTTCTCACTGATACGTGTGACTCACTATTTCATCTAGGCTATAAGCCTAGTGATGAGGAATCGGTGAAACAAATTCTTGATCATCCGAAGCGTTTTTCATCTCTGGTATCATGGCTTTCAAAGGAACTGCACGTACTAACTCATGGTGTAGTGGATATCATCGCGTCGCTGGAAGACTCAAGCCTGGAATCGTTTGGCATCGAGGTTTCGTCCGCACTTCGCGCCCTACATTGTCCTTATAAGCGTTTAATGAGTGGAGATTTGAATGAAAGGATAAACACTGATAATAAAAAGCTTCTTCTTTTGGAGTTTCTCACGACCGAAGCACAAGCTGCCAGACTGTTTTGTCCTAACAAGCAAGAAAAACGAATGAGAATTGAAATACGCTCCTCCCCAGAGGCTAGAGACGCTAGCCAACTTCTCAAAAGCTTGGATATGACACCTCCTCCTGCTAACATTACCCTCTCCATATTTTTCAAAAAACTGGAGGAGCATATCATGGCCTTAAAACCTATAAAACAAACGGCTCTTTTAAATCAAAGCCTTACCCCGATGCAGTGGACTTTAGTTGAACAGGCTTACCATCGTCTTCTTAAAGACTTTACTGTTCGACGAATGGTACTCATCAAACGACTAGACGTCACAGTCTTATCTTTCCGTTGGTCAAGCCGTATGAAAGATAAGCAAAATGAACTTACTCAGGTGTATATGCCAATCCGACAGGAACTCTCTGTGGAACCGACTGTTCAGTTAGGGGATATTCTTGCAGCACGACATGATGTTGCGGTCGAGGAGAAGACCTCTTGCCAGAACGTACGACAAAATACACAGACTTCTATCACGAAAGTAATTATTGGTCCGGTGCCAGACAGAGGAGGACGTTCAGATGAAATGCAGCCCCCTCCGCCAGAAATGCCATCATGGTGCGCTAGGCAAGAACCTACAAGAGATCAAGCCGGTAGAGGTCGCGGTCGAGGCGGTGTTGGCAGAGGAGGCATTGGGTTTAACCAAAGTGCGTCTAATTACAACAATCAAGGTGGTGGAGGCGGAAGCAGCAGCTATTACAACCAAGGAGGGGGTGATTTCTACAACGGAAGTCAAGGAGGAAGAGCAGTTGGAAGAGGATATAATCAGAGCAGCGACAGCCAGGGTGGATATTATAACCAGGGCAACTACGGTAGTTGTGGGGGACAAAACTACAATCGAGGAAGTAGCCATCGACGGAACGAGGGAAGGGACTACGTATCTGGCAGGGTACAGAATGCTGCCTGGGATGATACTCGAGGCAAGAGTGGCAGAGGTGGAAGCCACCGGGGTGGATACAGAGGAAGTGGAGGCCATCACGGAGGACGTTACTGATAATGCTCTTAAATATGCGATAGTGAATAAACTACGCGGCTTTAAATTACGTTGTTTTTACCTAGTCAATAAAAGTGCTGTAGTAATTATATTAATACAAAGAAGGATAATGAGTAACGTTGACGATTTATATAAGTATTTTGACCTAATCTGGTTTATAATAAAGTGCCTATAAACAAAAAAGTTACAACCGGATCCAAGATAAATCTGTGTTGACATTATACAGTAGTTTTTCGTAAAATATTATTCGAATGCAAAAATTTTAAATAAACTTTATTATAACAAGGTTAGAAGGGTAATATATTCAGAAAGGGTAATATATTCAGATTACTATTTTATATATTTACAAGCATTGCCTGAACCAAAATTATAAGGCCGCTTTGTCTACAGAAGGGCACAATTCAGCGGAAAATGAACGCAATGAATTAAAGCACACAGAAAATGCATTGGTTGCAAATATATTTATCTTAATCGTAAAGAACTGGGGTGCTTGTTTGTTTATCTCAAACAATTCCATATTACCTTTAACTTGAATAATTCGCCGAGAAACATAGGTTCGCAATTTTTTGAAGACTAAAACTCAGTTCGCTTAACCTTCATTTAAAGGTTGCATCATGATCTTTTCTAGGACATTTTTGCGAATCACTGCAAAACAGGAGAGAGCAGAATCGAAGTTTACATTTAGAAACTCGTTAACTCTCAGACGTGTAACATATACGCATTGTTTTTCCTTGTATAGAAGCAGCTAGTTTTATTATTACGTATAGGCTTTAACCCCTCAATGGACAACATCGATAAGGTACTAAATAACATGTATCAAAAGGATAATTGGGTGTATGCAATATGGAACTAGAATAATCATGGCTTAAACTATCATATTCAGGCAGTAATATTAATATTTAGCCCCTGATAAACAGGAATTTACAGAAATTGGAACTTTAGTGGATATTCCAGATCAGACAGGAAGTATTGTACACGTTATCGCAGCACCAGTAACAATTCTTTGAGTGGGTATTGGCGCTGAGATATTTCAGGTGTGTTGAAATCAATCTAAATATTATATGTAGGTGTGTTGAGGTGGATTTCAGGGTTTAAATTATGGTCGTTTGCTGATACCGGCACTGTGAAGTAATGGACATGCTTAACTTCGAAGATTTGGGCGATGTACTCGATGATGAAGAGGCGGAAGAAACGAAATTTGAGAAGTTTGGTGCGTTTCATAAAACTAATGTAGTTTTTCTGCTCGATTTGACGCATAAGATGCTACTTCCAAGCAAAATGAAGAATAAACATTCCGGAAAAAAAGTATCCATGGCTTACGCGTGTCTCGTAGCTATCAGGTTGGTTTCAGTCACTACTTGTTATTGCTAATTAAGCTATTTTTTAAGCACTGTCCTTCTGTTTTATATACTAGGCAACTGCTTGTTTTGATGCAAAAAAAAAGTAGGGTATTCATTAAAGTAGATGTTTAAATTGTTTTATTAGAATCTAATTGATTACTACAGTCAGTACATTAAAAATAACTTCACCACTTTGTGTTACATTTTTGGTGGAAGGCAAGGTGTGTTAGATATGATTAAACATTCATCGCTTGGAGGCGGTGGACGAGATCGTGTGGCAATTTTGGGATTAATGCATAAGAAAAATGTTGTGTTATTGGACATGCAGTTACCATCAGCTGAGACCATGAAGGTATGGCTTATTGTGATTGCTGAGCGAATTCACCTGAATTTATCTATTAACACTTTAAGCTATAAGTAGTGTGATTATACACGCTAGACAACCTCACATGCAACCGAACTCTGTGGAGTTGATACTAGTGTCCAATGTCAAGTTCGCAGTTAGCACAAATGTTTAACGAGATTTGCCGTTAATCCTAAATTTGTAGGTAATCGACGATTTGCTGGGTTCCATTAGCAAAGTGCTGCCGGTGACACAGAGCTTTGCAATTGATCTAGGAAAAGCCTTTGATATGTCATTTACTCTTCTTAAGGATCTACCAGGAGATGCCCAAATATTTGTTTGCACTGGAAACGATGACCCTTGTGATACTAACTTGCGTAAGGGTGTATCCGAGAAAATGGTATGTGTTTTATTGTAGGATTTAAGTAAGCAGTATAAATATATATATGCGGTATAAAATAGCATAGTACGCATCTAGAAATAACATATTCCCAAAAGCTCTTTTTCTAAAATAATGTCTTGTAACGTGATGTGTATTGTAAACTCTTCCTTGCTATGGTTGTTTTGTCAAATTAGTATTGTCTTGGAGTGCCCGGTTATCTATATAATGTGTGCTTCTATAGTTTTACTTTGATTTTCTTTGATGCCATCTGAACTTTCGCAAATCATCAATGCTTTCGAGTCAGAATCACGATAAATTTTAAAGAATCGCAACGTTAATCACATTTTTTTTATAATTCGTTGTATCAGTGATTTGTTACGTTGCATATTTTTTGGTTTGTTTCTATGACGGGTCTAGGTGGTGTGCAGTAAAGCAATGGATCTGACGCAAAACCACATGATGTCAATTAAGCTTTTGGCTGTACCTCTAGAGGGCCAGGAAAAGGCTTTTGACGTTGGTAAATTTTGGCGAGAAATCGTCTCAGATCAGGGCCAGGATGATCGAGCCATAATCGAAAACCTGTACGATCTAACCCAGCATGTCTGTTCACTTACACGGCCAACGGCAATCGTTGTGCCTAATGGAAGGTGCGGATATATTACCATTACGATGTATCGTATACTTTCCCTTTTCGAATTTTCATGTCATAAAAGCCCATTGCTAAATATTTTCATAAGATTGCGTTCTTTTTTTAATTGTTCGACACAACCGAATTTAATTGGACTTTTTCAAATTAGATCAAAAACCATTAGCATATCTTAGAAAATCAAAAAGGTTTAGTTTTCAATACAATTATTAAGACAGCTTTTTTTTTCGGAATGAGGTCTTAATATTTTGTTCAAGGTAAGAAAACGACGAAAAAGGCGAAACAAGAGACGCAAATGTTATTCTGATAGTCGGATTGCAGGTACCTCGAAGAATCAACCATGACTACAAACAATTCCAACCCATTGCCTCAATTGGCATAATAAATAAGGTAAATCTACTTATTTCAGCAACATGAAATTGCGCGTCCGAGATCCAAAAAAACGTGGCGGCTACGCAGTGCAACTGCATGTTAACCTGTATGCTCTATCACGATCGCGAGATCTCAATCCAAGTAAAACGTTTCGCATCGATGTTGATAATGGCCATTTCGTACTAGAGGCACGGGTGCGTAACGGAAAAGTGCTTAAAGGAACCAGCAGTGATATGTACACAGCAATTCACGAGGGTAGGTAATGGCATCTGCTCTTTTTATAATAACCCTGCAAGGGATGTAAACACAGTTCTTTGATTAGCCAGGGAAAATATTTTAGACCCGCATAGTTGTTTATGTTTAATCAGAAACGATTTTTTTTAAAATACAAATATCCAGTTATCCTCTTCTTTCAGGAAATAAATCATTGGAATCATATATTTCTCAGTATTGCATTAAAGCCCTACCTCATTTATGAGCACAACCTGGATGAGCCTTGCTGCCTATTACTTATCTCATTTTTACCTTTCCGGATAAAACAGCATGGGAACCATAGAATAAGCTATTAATTTAATGTTTCATGTCTATTATAAACGGCTATATGTGTGTAATTATATCGTTGTGCAATAAGATACGTAACCTATACCAAGGTCTATTCTGTACAGGCGAAAGCACTGCTGAAGACGATGATGCGAACGTACCGCCTTCGACTACAGGTTGTAGGTCTTTACCGCTACAAACACTTTATCAACGCAAGAAGGTGCTAAAGTTCCGTGAACGTGATATGAAGGTAGCATAAAATAATCTTAATTTTTCGTAATGTTAACAAATAAAAAATAAATACATAATAAAACGTAAATAATAACGTTCATTTATTTATAGTAACGAATATTTGATTGGATGGAACTGTTCACTCAGGTATGGAACTCGAATGAAATAGCAGATATCACCAGACATAATTCTCCGCGATGCATTGAAATTGTGGGCTTCATCCGAAACGATAAAATTAATAGAGAGTTCCGCCGACAAAGTCCACAATATCTGGCAAGTACACAAACACAATTTTGACGATTTGAAAAGTATCAGTTGTAGTAAGCAAATTGGTAGTTTAAGTATGGATTCAACATACTACACTATTGAAATTTTCTATAAGCAAGTGACGCTGCAGTGAATGTAACCTCATCTTTAAAACAACCTACTTCCATAAATACAAACTTTTTTTCTGTTATTTTCCTTTCAATTCGTTATGTAATCAGGCATTAAGTAGCTTGATTTCATAATAGCTGAATAATCTTGACATATCTTTTCCATGTTACAGACACTGGCAAAAAATTCAGAGGAAGAAGATGAAGCAAGCTATTGGTGCTCCTTGTGGCACTCTTGCCGACGTCTTAATATAACTTGTGTAGCGATTCTTTATCTTCGCGAGTTAAACGCGCCGAAGCAGGTGCTGCTTACTCCCCACTCACAAGTTCGGGATCCGCAAGGTGTGCTCCGACTTCCCAACGGTTTCTATGTCCACCATTTGCCATACAGGGACCGGGTGTACGTTGAAGTTAGGCCCAAGCAGTCAACTGAAGAAATGCGAATCAGACAGAAAGCTATGGGCTCCTTGCAGCGTTCCCTCGAAGCTATTTCTATGCCATTCTTCTATCCAGTGCGAGACAAAAATGCGGAAAACGAATGGCGTGTCCTTGAAGCTCTTGCTTTAGATCAGGCGCCCCCTAGGGTAGGCCCTACCGTAATGGAATATCCACCAGAAATTAAGGGTGATATCGAGCATCTGCGAGCTATTTGTGCCACCAATAAGGACGCGGAAAGCAAGGTTGAACCCATTAAACCAAAACGGCAAAAAAAGTGAGAAAAAGCACAAAATGCGGCAGCGAGGCAGGCAGGTGACGTCATGACGTCTTGTAGTAACACTGAATTTTACGTGCTCGATTACGATCGCTGATAGCGTACTGTAATGGATTCCTAATAGTGGGTGTCATTTTATTATATTGATCGTATATACACAAATAAAAAAAAATATATATATATACACATATATTTTAACACACTTTCTCATAGCAAACGATATACTGTAAATTTCAGACAACTAGAGAAAATACAGCTTATGTCATTAGTCCACGTAAATACTTGTTTTATTTTACATCAGGGGTGATTTTATACCGAATATCATCATTTAGTCGATTTGCCTCGTGTACTCTGTAAGTATTCCGCAGCTCTGGACAAAGGAAAAACATTAATAATGAGTTTATCGGTGATTTGATTGCATCCCCCAATGCGAAAACTGAGCATGTCTAAATTTGATTTTATTAATACAAATGGCAACGATAAAATTCGAAATTACAACGTCTGAAACTAGTGTGTGAACATGCGTTATCTGGATAATGCGGTCGTTTTTGTGGGATGTATTAGTAAATAAGCAATAAATAAAGAGCACAAGTGCATGCAACAAATAGGTCAATTTAACATCAAATCGATCAACAGTAATAATGTTTTGATCAAACAAATTGTTGAACATAGTTTGTGGAGTTACAGAGGGCCTTGTTGAATTGTCGTTTGCTGAAAAATATGACAAATACGGCTCCACTTCGAGATATAGTTTGTGCTTGTTTTTCTACAAAATTAAATAAGAAAACTTTTTTAGCGAGAAGAACGATAAAACTTGCGTATACATGTACACACTGCTCGTTTAACGTGCATACAGCGGAACAAGAAAGATAGTAGTACTATTATTGCTAAATAAGCGTAGTAGGGACTTGCAGCGCTGATACTATCACATTTTAAAGAAACGAAAGTAACCCAAATGTGCTCAAGCAGTATACAACAAACCCATTTTCACTTTTCATCGTCCTCACCAGAATTTACTTTTTTGTATTTGTATCTATATGTTTATAAT